TATAGAGGGAGAGGGAGAGAGAGAGGGAAAGTTTTTTTATTAATGTTTTAAAATGCAGTTCAATATTAGTGATATACATTAATATTAGGATCGGATTGATATACATCAATACCAAATTGAATATTTTACCAAAATTAAAACCAAAATGTAAGTTTTTTTTTATTTAGCCAATAAACCAAAATGTGATTATTTAATTACCAATTAATTATTCAATCAAATGTAATAATAAACACTCCAATGAAAACTAAATTAAATCTAAGCATTTACAATGCACATAAAGCAGTTTTTATTTCAACCTTTTATGGACATAATTACATTTCTAGTCCAATTCGTGGTTGAAATATAAACATTTAAATGGTGGCTGTAATAAAAAACTTGTTTTCGTAACAAACTTACTGAAATATACATTAATGAACACAACAGATTAAGCAGAAATATAATGAATATATAATATACTGCACAAATCTACAAGCATTAATTAATTAAACGGTGACATTTAAAGGGTTAGTTGAAGTTCACCCAAAAATGAAAATTCTGTCATTAATTACTCACCCTCATGGCGTTCCAAACGCGTAAGACCTTCGTTCATCTTCGGAACACAAATTAAAATATTTTTGATGAAATCTGAGAGCTCCCATAGACAGCAAGGATACTACCACGATCATTGCGCAGAAATATGTGACATGAGGGGTTTAACCGTAATTTTACGAAGTTACGAGAATACTTTTTGTGCGCAAAAGAAAACAATAATAACAATTTATTCAACAATTCTTCCCCCCCCGCCCCAAAAATATCTTAATTTGTGTTCTGAAGATGAACGGAGGTCTTACGGGTTCGGGACGACATGAGGGTGAGTAATTAATGACAGAATTTTCATTTTTGGGTGAACTAACCCTTTAAATGTCACCGTTTCTTTAATGATTCCAGCCCTCCAAATGTATTCTGGCCGAATATTTTCAGTTGCCAAATTTTTAAAGCATCACTCTTTAACAAAATAATAATACAATTTAAATTTATATCTAAACATCTAAATCTAAAAATAGAAATTATTTTAAATGCACTTTTTCCATTTGCCAATCAAATTAATATAATTTGACAATTAATCTCACAGGAACAACCAATAAACTCAACTCAATGAAAGTTCAGCTGAATTTTAAGACTGCCAGAGATACTTTTGATAAGTCACAGCTTCTACAATACTGTCTTTTTATTTTTCCATTTATTTACATTTGTTAAAAAAAGAGATTTTATATACAATTTAAATGAAAGTGCTGTCATTTCCACCTCTGTAATAAAGTGATGAACTTATACCCTCTTTACCTGCAGCATGGTCACTACGTGTCTCTCTCCAGATTTGGTCCACACAGGCATCATTCCGAGTTTAACAGCCACAAGACCGACTCTCCGACTCCCTGAGGAGATGCAGATTACAAATCAATACAACCATTAAAACTGAAGCAGTTATCGTAAGCACAATTATGAGCAAAAGCACGCTGCCTCCTGTAGGTCTGGAGTGGAAATGACACCCACAGACCTCAGGGGTTCTGATGGTGTGGCCCACCTTCCACCCACTCATGTCTGGGCCAGGGCTCATCCTTGAGGGGGTTGAGTTTGTCTGTGGTCTGTTGTTTATATTCCTCTGTAACGACCTTCTTCAGAAAAGAAGCATTATCTTCAGTGAGGTGCTCATCCCACCATGTGTTTGTGCGATGCGTTCTTATACACTGAATGACAGGAGCTCTGCTGAAGACACAGAAAACAGGGGCATGATGGGAACTGCCATGCTTTTTACATAAATATCACGTTAAAAAAAGTTGATAATGTGATACTACTGACAGTGACATTACATAAAGTTGTTAAACGTGATGCTACTGAATAATACGCCTAAATAATAAGAGTTTGTGTATTTATGTGAGATTTACATTATCTTGAATTAAAGAATACATTATTTTATGACGTTAATATTCCGTTTTTAACAGCAAATACCTCTGCAGCGCTGCTCCAGCTCGGCAAACGGTTACTGGCGCTCCTCTTAGCAAACCATCAGCAAGTTTAATGAACCTACACGTCAGTGCTGTCATCTTTATTATTTACAATTATCATACAACACGACTACAGCTCATTCATTTATCCCGATCGCATCATTGTACCAGACATGAGTCTCGTGTTTGTCCTGCAGTAGAATGACATTCCTTCCACTTCCGGTGTTACACGGAAACACGGTCGCTGGTCTCTGTCGCTTCAAAATATTGTTCCTTTAAATTATTAGTTCCCTAAGCACTTAATAGTGTGTTATAAACTATTAACTACCTAAGCACTCAGTACTGTGTTATTATTTTTGCTGAGGACAAAATACATTTTCGGGTTATCGTTAGAGCTCTGTTATTATTTTAAAATGACAAAGTAATAAACACTAAAATAAATTGTTCCTCACAACGAAAAAATAGGTTAAATATTAATCTACATGTAGTCAGTTGATATTGTTTTAAATTGTGCATTATATTGTGCCACTATGGAAATAAATAAATAAATATTTTTTTGTTACAACAAAAAAATCTAAATATTAACCTGTATTTTATTGAGCAGTTTTACATAGCGATTGGCACAGGATTCTTAGGCTGGTTAACTATTTCCAAGCACTCTAAAGACTAATTATTATGCTACCCTGTGACATGTTGCAACATGTTCCTAACAAAACAATATAATCAAAATATGTTCTTTGCAGATATCCAATCTTAATGTGTGATAATATGTAGAATGCATTTGGTGAATCTCCTTGTTTGTCTTACAGAACCTAATCTCTGCCAGACACTCACAGTGGAGCAAGAAATAGTTTTTCTGTCAATTAACCAACATTATTTGTGTAGAAATTTGTCAGAATTGACAACCTCATGCACTTCAAATGATAAACCGAGATGCAGAAAAGACAGGGGAGGTGGAGCTGGAGGAGGTGAATGTAAGATCAGGAGGGTGAGGGATTTGAGGAGGACCTCAGTGATGCTCTGGCCTTCCATGGGTTTTCCTTGAAGACCTCAGAACCGCTGCAGATTGAACCCTAAACCACAATTCAGCTGCTCCCCTTGTCCTGCCAGCTGCTGCTTCCATCATGCTGCCAGCTAACTCAACCCTGCCAGCTGCTTCTTCCTACAATCTGCCAGTTACGTTTTCCTCTGACCTGCCAGTTTCCTTACCCTTCCTGCTATCTGCCTCATCCAATCTCACATGTTGTCCAGCCCGCTGCCAGTGATGTTCACACTCATTACATATGTACATATTTTAGCAGCAGGTGATGATCCCTTCCAGACACCAGGATAAACTGACCACACAGATTTCGGACATTTATAAGGCTAGATGAATCTGAAACTGAGTGTATGTAGTGGTACACAGCCTCAAAACCGCCTGAAAAATTAACATGCACACACACACACACACACACACACACCTGCATGTTGTGTTCACTTGTGTTATCTTTTACTACTATTTAAATTTGTTTGATGATCTGAAACATTAAAGTGTGACAAACATGCAAAAAAATAAGAAATCAGGAAGGGGGCCAACACTTTTTCACACCACTGTATATATATATATGCACATATATTTTTCAGGCGGTTTTGAGGCTATATATATATATATATATATATGTTCAAAATAACTAAATTGTATATTATATTTTTTAAATACAATCAAACAAAGGTTTAAGAGTTCAAATAATTAAACAATTAGATAAGTATTGAAAAGTGAACCAAGGTGAATCAAAATATTTTATGTGAATATTCACCTTAGTTAATATTCATGCTTATTATTTAAAAGATGGTGAATATTCATGAAATGGAGATCTAATGGGAGTCCCCTAGCAATACTGCGTCCTTGTGAAAGACATTCAACTTCAGATTTCATTCCCTGCTGTTGTTTTGAATGAGAAGGTATCTGCAAAATCACTAACAATATATAATCTGCTGAATCTTTGACTAATGGACCTGTTGGATATGATAAAGGACATGATCTCTCGTTCTCCTGTTAACCCCTAATCTTGTCCTGGTGATCTGAGTGTTTAATTATACATGATGGAGCTAACTGAAAGGCTGTGTGCATGTGTGGAGAGAAGTGTGCGCATGTTTGTGTGTTTAGACTTCAAAGATTCCTCTGACTCAAAGAGTCGATCACACCTCCAGGACTCCATTTCTCAAGGTCTTCTGATGCATGTTAAAGAGTCTTTCCACTCAAGCTTGCCTCTAAATTTTTCATTTAGTGAATTACAGTATTGTAGCGTTAAAGAAACTCTGGATCAATATTACTGGGTGTGAGAGACCCGTGTGTGTGCTGAGCAAGTGCATCCAGTGAACAAGAGTATCAAAACAAAAAATAAGGAACAAAAGTGGGAAAAACCTTTTTTATTGGCAACATGCAAAATACAGTCCTGGTTTTGGTAGTAAGCAAGCATACATACACACACGCTCCAAACTGAAGGAAGAAGGAAAGAAAGAAATGTGTAAAAGGAAATGAGAAATGTGTCTAAGACTGCACCAGAAATACACATCTACTATTTCCAAATATCTGAAATGACTTAGATTAGGTTAAGAAATTCTGCAAAACAAAAATATCAAGAAACCTGTAGAAAAGAACAAAAACAAACAACGCCTAAACACTGTAAGTACTGTATTCACAGAACCCATTCCACATGCTTTCAAATAAATATGCATTTGTTTATAGAGCTATATACAATACACTTAATTGTATGTAACAATTGTAAGTCATAAAGGCCTCACATTAAAAATAAGTTTTAAAATAAATACACTACCGTTCAAAGGTTTGGGGTGGGTAAGAAAGGAACAAATATTTTTATTCAGCAAGGAGGTATTAAATTATCAGTATCAATAAAGACATTTAAAATACTACAAAATATTTCAATTTGAAATAATTACTGTTCATTTGTACTTTTTTTCACCAAATAGAATGATTTCTGAAGGATCATGTGACACTAAAGACTGGAGTAATGATGCTGAAAATTCAGCTTTGCCATTGTTATGTTATAACAGTTATTTTAAATTGTAATATTTCATAAAATTACTGTTTTTATTGTGTTTTTATCAAATAAATGCAGCCTTGGTGAGGATAGGGAACTTCTTTCAAAAACATGAAATTCTTACCAACCACAAACTTTTTGCAGGTAAATTTAATTAATCAATAAAATGGTTGCACTTTGGATTATAAAGGACTAACAGTGTTTACTAACTGAGCATTGGTCATGCACTGGCCAATATCTGATAATCTCTTGCCTCCTAAACTATTACGCATTGGAATATTATGCTATATTGGACTATATAGCCCTTTTACAGCAGGTCCACCAAAAATAACAGTAAATAATATCAACAAAACAAAAAGGTAACAAAAGCCAACGCTTATGAACAAATGCAACTTGGAATCAGTCTGGCATCTGAATCTAAAGGAAGACAGTCCAGTTGAAGGTTTCATTCTTTCGGCTTTACTTCTATTTACACAGAGTAGGTGACGGTAGATTAAAAGGTGCTGGCAGATTGGTTTGGTTGCAATGAAAGGAATCTATCCCATTGTTATATTAAAGGTGCATTCAGTGATTTCAACCACATTTTACACATAATACTTTTTAAAAATGTTTAAAATCATCCGGGTCACGGTACCAATATAACTCCTCTGGTTCTACTCTCCTCGTTCTTGCTCCGAGCGGGATTCAAACCAGTGTTTTCAGCATGGGAGGTGGACCCTCTAACGAAGACGTTAAAGGAGACTTTAGGTCCAAGACGATATTAGCCATATTAGCCAGGGAAACCAAAACAAAAAATGACTGAGTGCACCTTTAATATAACTAACAACAGCGTAAAAATTAAGGACAGCTAAGGACATTTCTGCCCAATGCTATTGGAAACCTGAGTGAAAAAAACAACAAGGATGGACCTGCTTGTCGATTCCGATACTGATACAGCAAGCTCTGAAATTATCAGCGAAGATATCTTGAAGTTGAGACGAATATGGCTGTGCTTAGCTCAGGGACTGAATGCTCTGGAAGACTCAAAGTCCGACAGGCCTTTGGGCTTGATGCCTTTTCCATTGTAGTAATCCACCACTTGATTGGGAACCTCAGCCAGCACACTTTTAGCCAGTGCTGCAGGAGAGGCCTGTGTGGAAGAAAAGACGGAGGGAAGGATGAGAGAAAGGAATATAGATGAAATCTCACACTCTCTTGTACTTGAGTAGGTGATACAGGAAAGGTGTCACTCCTATTTCACTCTGTCCGCAAAACAGGTGGAGACAGACCAGAGAAAACCCAGCAGGACAGAGCTAAAAATAAACACGTACACACATACACACGCTCGGTTTCTCGCCGAAGCATTCGTATCGGACAGCCAACTTCACACCTTCAGAGTTGCGCTATATTTATGAATTGTGTGATATTGCAGAAGTTGACCTGAGGTAGCAGGTTTCCTTACAGCCGTCTTCCAGACTGTGAAGAAAAAAGCAAAACAAAGCCCTTCTCTGGAGTTTATTGCACAAGAAGCCTTGGACAAAAAGGTTCAATAAATCAAATGAAAAACCTGAAGATTTAAAAAAGCATAACTACATCAGCAGTTACATAACAACTGAGAAAATAAAACATACCCATGAAATAATCTGAAGAAACGAATGCAGAGATTTGGCCAAGAAGAAATCATAATTATTTTAAAATTATCACAAAAATAAAAACGACAATTTTAAATACAACAATAAATAATGCTAATAATAATAATAATTAAAAAAAAATTTTTTTTAACTATTTGAACTACAGGTATCCGCCCTAAGCCCTCATTCAATGTCAACTGAAAAGAGTTACTCCTTTAAAAGGAATCACTGCAACAGTTGAACCCAAATCAATATTAATCCTAGAAAAGGGTGATGTTGCTGATTAGAAACAAATATTTCATGCAATTGCTAAATAAATAAATCAACAGTTAAGCATTGTGGAAAAACAAATTATTTACTCTGTATATATGTCTGGGCCATAAAAAGTTATGCATAGCTGTTAGCTTAGCTGCAATCTAATGTTACTATATTGAAATTAATTATGAATCATGTCTCTCCCATGTGTTGCTGCCAATGCGTTCCGTTTTTCTTCTCACAGCTGCCATTTTTACATTCACAATAAATGATTTATAAATGACTAAATTATTATTTATGAAAAATACTGAATCATTAATAATAATAATAATAATGATACACCAGGCTT